GACTGGGTGAGATCAGGGTGAGATCAGGGTCTCCTGTGGGGGGAGAGGACTGGGTGAGATCAGGGTGAGATCAGGGTCTCCTGTGGGGGGAGAGGGCTGGGTGAGATCAGGGTCTCCTGTCGGGGGAGAGGGCTGGGTGAGATTAGGGTCTCCTGTTGGGGAAGAGGGCTGGGTGAGATCAGGGTCTCCTGTGGGGGGAGAGGACTGGGTGAGATCAGGGTCTCCTGTTGGGGGAGAGGACTGGGTGAGATCAGGGTGAGATCAGGGTCTCCTGTCGGGGGAGAGGACTGGGTGAGATCAGGGTCTCCTGTCAGGGGAGAGGGCTGGTGAGATCAGGGTGAGATCAGGGTCTCCTGTGGGGGGAGAGGGCTGGGTGAGATCAGGGTCTCCTGTCGGGGGAGAGGACTGGGTGAGATCAGGGTGAGATCAGGGTCTCCTGTCGGGGGAGAGGACTGGGTGAGATTAGGGTCTCCTGTTGGGGGAGAGGGCTGGTGAGATCAGGGTCTCCTGTGGGGGGAGAGGGCTGGTGAGATCAACAGAGGAGGGTCCCTTCTTCCCTTCAGGCAGCAAAGCCTCTCCCCTTGTGAGCTGGTGTGTCACCGTCAGTGATGTGGTGTGGGGTCCCCACTTGGGAAGTTAAATTGTGCTCTGTCCCAGAACCACAGCAGGCTCAGCCCTGCTTTCCAGGCTGGGCTCTCTCCTGGAGGCTCAGCTGGCTCCACCCACCCCGTTGGGATAAGCAGCTGGAATGTCCCTACCCACACAGGACCCACTGCCCTCAGGGAATGGAAAACCTCCGTCTCACTATCAGACCCAGTGGAGAATTGCCCCCACCCCACCTCTTGTATTCAGAGGCTCTGACCCCTAGGGATCCTGGACTAGGGGTGCCTTGATGGGGAGCCCACCTGTGGCCTGTGGGTGCTGGGCTGTGGGGGGCAATCCTCCAGGATCCCCAGCCCCACCTTCCCAACCTTCTGTTGAGGGTGGGAGGACACAGACAGCCCCCCTCCCTCTTCCTCCTCCCTACTCCTAGGCCCTGAGTGCTTTTAAAAAAGGCCTGGGGGATTGGGCAGCCCACCCCTCCCTCACCTCGAGGGGGTCTCCAGAGTGAAGGCCCGGCCGGAAGGCAGGGCCCTGGAGCGGAGGCCCTCGTGTGTGGCGGCACCATCTCCCCTCTCGCTGGCTTGTGGTGTTCCCAGTGGCTCTGGGGTTGATACAGCAGGCATTGAAATGGCTCCTGTTTCTCTGGCAGAGTTGTGGGGGCAGAGCCAGCCTTGGCCACACTGCGTTCTAAGGGGCTGTCATTTTGCCCAGGGAGCTCCTGGCTTGACCGTCTACCCCCGGGGCCAGCACACATCCCCCCATGTCCCACTGCAGGGCCCCGGGGCAGGGAACAGCTTATCAGTCAGTGTCCTTCCTCCCCAGCCCCGGCCTGCATCTCCATCGTCCACCCTGCTCCAGCCACCCCTTGTCCCTCTCCCTGCCCCTGGCCCGGAGCCTCTGGCCCCTCCTGCACTCCTGAGCCTATCCATCCAGCAGCGCCCCTCCTCCAAGGCCCCTCTGGGTCGGGGGTGTACACAGTGGGAAGAGGCAGCCCCTGCTGCTCCTCGCCCAGCCTGGTGCAGTGGCCAGAGCCACCCAGGGCAGTGGCAGAAGAAGGGGCTGTTTGATTAGAATCAGGGAAGATAAGGCCCCTTGTGTGACCCCAGAGCTGGGGATGCCAAAACTGCCCCTCCTGCCCCACCCACCTGCTGCTCTGTCCGTCAAGAGAGAGCCCCCGATTCTGTGGTTCCTTGGTCCCCAGCACTAAGCCTGCCTGACTCCTCACCTGGCTCGGACTGGGCATCAGTGACACACAGGTCCTGCCTCCCAGCAGCCCCTTCATGAGCCCAAGGCCCAAGGGCTGGGGTTGGGAGCCCTTTAGCAGGCTGTGACACAGGTGCCTGTCCCTGTCATTCAGCTGTCACCCTGCATGGCGCATCTCAGGCCCCGTTAGCGGAAGGAACCCCAGGTGGAGCTGGCCCCACTCAGGGTCACCCAGCCACTGCCTGCAGGAGGCTGTACTGTGGTGGCCCAACGTCCAGCCCTGCCCAGAGACCCTCTGCTCCAGCTGCAGCCTTTGCCCCTCCTCACCCCTCTCCCTGGTTTCTCCCTGGCACTGCCCTCCATCTGCCCAGCCGTCCACCCACACCTCTTACTCTGTTTGAGGGTGCCCCAAAGAAGAGCCCATCGCAGCCCAGGGGCTCACAGCCAGCCACTCGAAGGACCCTGCACACAGGCCCCACAGGAAGACCCTCCCTGCCTCTCCCACGGAATTCGGCGGGTGCGAAAACGGCTCCATAGCAGTGAAAGGCCGATTTCTGGGGCTGTTGCTGCCCCGAGCTCCCAGCTCAGATGCTGTCTCTGGCCTGGGACCAGGCGCTGTGCCTCCTGCAGCCCCAGCAGGCACCACAGAGGCTGTCCTCCTCACCCTGTGTCCTCACCCCAGGCCAGCTCCTCCTTTGAGCCGGCGCTGGCAGTGCTAATCTCAAAGGAATGTGCAGCCAGCCAGTGGCGTCCCAGGGACCCAGGAAGCCCAGCTGAGCCTTGCACAGCACCCATGGGGTATCCAGGCACCCCATTGCTGGGCAGGGGGCATGCAACAGGCCCCCGAGGGTGGGCCCCACACTTGGCCTGGTGCAGCTGCAAGCCAGCCCAGCCACCTTGCTCACTGTGACCCTGGGGCCAAGTGATGGAAGGTCCAGGCACTGCCACCCTCACGCTTGGCGTGTTGGCTCATCAGCCTGGCAAGCCAACTTTCCCAGGGGCTAAGACTAGGTGAGGAGAACGGTGAGGACCGACCAGCCGGGGGCTGTCAACTCAGGGAGGAGGTCAGCGTCTGGGAGTACGGTCCCCCTCTAAGAGCATTGGGCCACCTGACAGGAGGGTGGCTGCCACCAGCACTGAGTCAAGGGTCTCTGGGACCCCGAGAGCTCCCAGCCAGCCAGCCAGCCCTGGGTGACAGGAAAGCCAGCTCCACCAGGGGAGATGGTGCAGCCCCCATGACCCTAGTCAAGACCTCCTGGCATGTGGGGGCTGGTCAGGTGGCCCGAGCTCCCCCTGGCAAAAAGTGGCCCCTCCTGGGGTCTCTTCCCTTCCAGCTCTCTCTTTATCCGTAGGACTCTGAGGCTCAGAGGAGCAGCTTAACGGGAGAAGGACGCCCCCCTGGCCAGGACCCCCCAGGCTCTGCCACTCAGCAGCCCCCAGAGGAGCGTGCACAAACACCAGGACTAAGTGGCCCCAGACGTGCAGTCCCTGCCAGATGTTGGGGGCAGCTAGCTGCCCAGAGGCATGCCTCTCCGCCAGCCACGCCCACCTGTGCTGCTGCTGCTACTGCTGGTCTGCCAGGTGAGGACTCACGCCACCCTCAGCACCCAGGGGCCCTCCCATGAGGACTGAACACTGATGCCTGTCTGCCTGCCTGCCTGCCCGTCTGTCTGCCTGTCCGCCTGCCTGCCTGCCCGTCTGTCTGTCTGTCTGCCTGGCTGGTTGTGCATGTGTCCCCAGCCACAGGCCTCCTCCGCTCAGGTGATGGACTTCCTGTTTGAGAGGTGGAAGCTCTACGGTGACCAGTGTCACCACAACCTGAGCCTGCTGCCCCCTCCCACTGGTGAGTCCCCACCCAGAGCCTTCCAGCCTGGGCCCCACCTCAGCATGCCCTGAGCTCTCTTCATGGGAAGTTTTCTGGGTGCTTGTGCGGCCCTTGAAGCCACCCCGCCAAGGGGCCTAGTCATTCCTCAGGTGCCCACTGCCACTGGCAGGTGAGGTAACGAGGTAACTGAGCCACACAGCTGGGGACCTGCCCAAGGCTGCAGAGGCAGGATATAACAGAACAGTGGAAACTGGCTGCTGCCGCTGTGCGCCCCCAGGCCCAGGTGGACACCACCACCTATGCCCATGGAGCTTCCAGTGGGCAGACGGTGCCAAGGGGTGGGAGGGGGGACCCAGAAGGTCAGCAGAGCACACAGGCCTGGGAGGGCTCTCATGACCTGGACACTTGGAGTTCAGGGAGAGGTTGGGGCTGGAGGACTTGCTGGGGAGGCAGTGCCATCGTTCAGACAAGGGAGGTGGCCTCCGTTGGGCAGAGGGGAGCAGGTGTGGCAGCCACAGCTTAGCAGTGCACCTAGGAAGGACAAAAACCGCACTGGATTCAGCCTCAGAGGGGGAGGTGACTCAAGACGGTCATGGGGAAGGGAGGATGCCAGTGTGGGTTTGGGGCACATTTGAGATGGGAGGTCTTCAAGGGAAGCTGTCCTGGCAGAGCTGGAGCTCAGGGCGGGGCTGGGGGCTCTAGGGAAGGCTGGTCCAGGGGAGGTGGTGGTCAGGTGAGGGAGGTGGTCAGGTGAGGGAGGTGGTCAGGTGGGGGAGGTGGTCAGGTGGGGGAGGTGGTCAGGTG